CCCCAAAACCCCAAAACCCCAAAACCCCAAAACCCCAAAACCCCAAAACCCCTGTTTATATAGAACAGATTGAAGGGAATGCTATAAATAGCTCCACTTTTTAATAAACTTAAAGGATATTTGATACGGTTATGAGCGACCATGAGCATAATCATACGGGCCATCAGCCCTCCTACACGAGGATTTTTGCAAGGAAGTTCCCCATCATCGGGTGGGTCCCTATTGGGTTCTACATTCCTGACTGCACTTCGAAGTATGACTTGAGAAGGCTCATCGAGAAGCACGGAGGAATTGTGGTCAAGTATGAAGCGTTTTGTTACCAAATCAAGCCTCAGAAAGAGTGTAATGATCTTAAGAAGTTCTACACTGGCAATATTTACTCTTCCAAGTGGATCAAGGCTTGTATTAAAAGAGGCAAGTTCATTGAAGGTAAGGCATAAATTTCTGTTTTTAATTGCTTCTAGATAATGAGTCATATTGTCTTGGATTTAACCGGAACCCAGCCTTGAAGACTATTACTAAGAAGAGAACTGCCTACACTATCATCGAAGTGCTAAAGATGTTTGATATGGCAAATAAAGTCATCGATTACTCGAGCAGATCCGTGAAATTCTGGGATGAGGTCGAGAAGAAATAATATTATTCCGGATAGAACAAGCCAGAGCCTCAGAACTGCATGGAGGAAGTTCTCAAAGTACGGAGAAGAGCAGTTTATCAAAGAAGCGTTAAAAGACCAGAAAATCAGGTTCTCCCACCAGTTCGAGTCAGTTCCATTTTTGAAGTCTCAGCCTAAAGTTGTTGCTCAACCCCCTCCAAAACCTCAAATTTCAGTTTCAGTGCATTCAGAGGAGGGAGAAGCCAAAGAAGAAGTTGAAGAAATTGAACAAAGAGAAATAGACCAAAGGCAAATTCATGAAGAGATCGAGGAACCTCTCGATATGGAGGTGTGCTCAAGAGAAGCTAGCGAAGAAGCTGCCCAGCAAGAAGAGGATGACAATTGTGAGTTCCTCCTTGCCATTGAAGATCTCCAGAGTGCTCTGGCTTTTAATGCCACGGATGATAGAACTTACTCATTGAATGCTCCCAAGCGGAGAAAAGACAAAACATTGAGTGAGCTCTATGACGATGCTGAGAACATAAGCATCGGAGATTATGAGGCCACAAAGATCAACTCTCCTGACGGGTCCAATGACGATTCGACGAGGTTCAACTCAAAATGCTCTGGAGAAAATGTAGACTATATGAACTCAAATATTTCGATTACAAGAAATAGAATTAGCAATGAGTTTACAGTGAAGAAAGTAGCTGTTCAAAAATCAAAGCAACAGTTCTTTGAAGACCTCTCCAAAGAGCTCAGAAGTCTTTCCAAGGAATATGGAAAGGAAATGGACGAGATGCACATGCTCTTCATGGAAGTCTCCTGTGACTTAGGAGAACTCAAAAGCCTTTTGAAAGGCATGAAAGCTCCTAAATGGAGCATGCTTGAAGACCTTGCCATCCAAAGCGAGCCAGACTCCGCAGAATTTAAGCATATTTGCAATAGCAAAGGCGAATCTCACGTTCTCAAAAGAAGGAAGTTCCTTGAGTTGCATGGGTAGCTTTCCGAAGGCCACGCTTGCGTAATAAAGGTTGATTGCATGCCTTGTCTACCTCCATTTTGCTGTTTGCTTCAACAAAATTCAAAAAGAGAGGGGTTTTGGGGTTTTGGGGTTTTGGGGTTTTGGGGTTTTGGGGTTTTGGGG